TGTAACAGATTTGATTTACATGCTGTATTAAGACCACATTCTGCTCTGATGTCAATGGAACATGTGATTAGAGATTAACAACCGTGTGTACAGGATGAGCGTAAGAGCTACTTACAGAGCATACTCGAAAACGAGCACTTTCTCAAGTTAATAATAAGTTTTGGAATTCAACGTTAACAGTATTTTGAAGTTTCTAGGGGTCTCCAAAGAGAATGGGCTTTCAACTTAAGAAGAAAAACAACAAATGCATTTAGTATTGTCAAAAATTTGAAATTCACGGTTGGCAGATTAAACAAAAAGACAAAGGAGGCAAGAATATTTTCAGAGGAAAAGTTAACAGTATTAATCAATCAATCAATGTGTCCCACTTTATACTCATATTTGCAGACCTCCATTAAAACCTGAAGCATTCCATCTATGGCTTGGAATAGAAGACACTTTATCAAAGTTATTATCTAAGAAATCAAATAGTTGAAGTTATCTCTTTGGAATTCTGTAGAGAGTTTAATTTAGCAAACGTACACTTGAATGTGTCTGAACATATTTGTCTTGAGGTTGCTCTACGATGACTATTTTAAGTGGCATGTGGAGTCTTTGGGGATTTGGATATTATAGTTGAAGTATGCAAAGGAAAAATGTATAATATTTCTTTCAACTGATTCTCGCAGGACAAAACATGAGAAGATAAAATGACTCTTTTTAAAACTTTAGCCACTGGGAAATGATAAGAAAACTCCTCTCGACCCCTACCCCCAACCAGGAAGAGTCTAAAGCCCTGGATTATAGTACAGGTAGATGTTAAAGTGGAGACAGAGCCGTTATTTAGTGGTGACAGGAATATAAATACGTGCACTAACCTATAAGCTGGTATTTACTTCAGGAAGGTAAGTAATATTTTTCCTCTGATTGCTGAGCTGTCAGTTTAATGCAGCGTAAATAAACAGTAGGTGCCTGCTAGCTTGAAGTAGGAAGTGTTCATTCCACACGAGGAACAGATTACTGAAGCCTGATGCTCATCGTGCTGAAACACAACTTTCATTTTACCAGAAAATACACCCTACCGTGGAGGATTTTCGTGCCTGATCTATTAATTAACTTAACTCTGTTCTGTCAAAATGTAAACCAATTTGTTAAAAGCATCCCAGAGTTTTGGAGTTTGAAAACCAACTGGAAACGCAAGAAGGATGACTGTTCTGTAATCTGATCACAAATGCTAAAAATGACTACTTAGTATAATAAGCAGAAACTATACCAAACCAAAAGAGACAAAGAACATATTTAAATAGAGAATTCAATCATCTCAGTTACCGAATTTACTCAAAATCCTCCTCCTTTGCTAATTAAAAGCAACTGGCACCTTTCATATTTTGCAACCTTGTGCTACTTAGGCCTGTTCAATATGTATGCTTCTTCTGCTCTCTGAAATATCTAAAGGTAAACCATTCATAAAAATCCGATCACATTCTTTAATTCTAATCAAAAGATTACTGAACTCCCCTGAGAGAAGTGGCAAGTATGAAGAGCAAATGATGATACCCTTCCTAACAGCATTCATGTAAAATGTGGTTTTCTTCCCATTTTCTACATACCACAAAGCTCTGACAGTATAGAGCAACTCAGGTTCTCCTTATACATAAGCACAAAGCAAAATATCTCCTGGCATCATTTAAGATGAGAACTTACCTTATCTAAAAAGTATAAAAGGTAATTTGGGGAGGTTTCTATTTAAAACCTGAACAAATTCTGATCATTAATCAGTGGACTGTAAAAGTCAAATGCAAAAAAACCCAATATTTTTGCATCTGACTACAACAGGTCCAGACAGAGTCTGAAGATCGATTCCGTCATATGCATTTATTTTATATACTTCATCAGTCCCAGGTACGAATATGACACAAGAGTCATCCGAGACAACACGTCTTAGAAGAAAAGATGTGTTTGTGTAAAGGGCATATCTGTGTATGGCCCTTTTGGAAATTTACAGAGCAGATGAAAACCCACCAGAGTGCTTTATAGAGTCCCTGCTGTATATCCACGTTGTATTTAGCTTAACAGTGTTTGTAACCAAAAGGTTTTAACAATAATGAAGAACAGGTGCCTGTCACCTGACCTTTTAGGCCTAATTTACAATCCGCAACCTGTCACATGAAAAAAATCATTGAAAATCTCTCCCAGATATTTCAGTCTTTGCTAATTTAATGCAGACTTGCCTAACCATCATTTAGCACATCATCTTATTCAATCGCAGGTTCATATAGCTTGGCAACAGACTTCTTTGCAGAAATAAACCATTATTCATTTTGTTGTTGTTCTTGTTTAAGATGCTGAGAGACAAAAGAACTCCTTTTGTAGATTATCAACCAAAGAATATATTAATTTATTACAACAACTGAACAAAAGGCATTCCTTTGGAATACTTTTACATACAAAGAACTATTATTTATTACATATTTCAGCTTGTGGGAAAATGAAGAATGCATTGATTCTGGAAATAACTATTCAGACTTTTGGAAGTTCTTTAAGTCTTCTTTCTCTGCTGATATTTTTTTTTTCTGCTTCCTCCCTTCATTCCCCCCTCTTGTCCCCCCATACCCACCCCCACTACATTTTAGGGCACTAGTACTTTAGGAAGGAAATCCCTATTTGTTCTTTTTTCATCCATCATTTGTATTCATTATTTAGAAAGGAATACAAAATTGTGCAGTGATTCTTATTTCTCTTGTATAATCTTGTTACATGCAGCCATACTCAAATTTAACAATGCTTTGTATTTTATAGCTACTGTTTACATATTATGTATTACATATGACTGAACGACTCTACATTTAAAATATTGTTTCCATTAGGAAAAATATGAAGTAATAAGTGTCAAATGGAGATGAAGAATAAACATGCCCGGTATATTTATAAAATGTATAGTCATTTAAAATGTGCACAAATAGGATACATATTTTGCTACTGTTACATTTTATATAGAATACACATTGTCTAAAGTGTATTTAATAATGTGTCTAACCGAGTTAGTTAAAGTATTTATGTCTGGTGATTGTGTTAAACACTTGGAGAGGTAGTGAAAGATACAGCCAGTTACTCCTGCTAACTAAAGTTGAGATTATGCGCTTATTATAACCTTTTCTAACAATGTGAGAAAAACAGAGTAAATATATTAAAATTGTTTCACAACAGATGCTTAGGTTGTTAATATTTAAGATGCCTATTCATGCTATTCCTGTCTGCACATTTGTCAAAAATGTAAGCCTGATGCTAATGTTTGCCAGCAGACTGGAGCAGCCAGTATACGAATGTACTACTGTTCTACTAAAATAATATGCAATAGAAATAAAGGACCGCTGCTAAATCATAGCACGAGTACCACACAGCAGATTAAAGGTCTTTAGAGCAAACACCTCAACCTTGGCTTTCTCCAGTCTTAGTTTCCCCCCCCCCCCAGCTACTTTTGACGACAGAATAAATCTTAATTCCTGACATCTCAGAAAAATCCACTTTAGATTGGGTGTAAATTTCAAGAAAGTTTCAGCGGGATGAGTTACTCTGTCAGCAGTACAAACACTGTAGATTTCAGGGACTGCTTAGGACAAATCCTGACACCCAGCAAGTCGCATTTTACTCATTCTTACCCCCTCTTCTGTCCTCTTGGGAAACTCAGGTCCCCTGGCCTCCCAGGATGGACCCCCAGCCAGTCGGGGCAGAAAGGTTCTCTCCTGAGAACAGGACGTCTTTAGCTTTTCTGTCTCTTTACAACCATGTGGAGTCCAAGTCTTAACAGCATTTGCCTGGAAATCCGGAATGCTGCTGAGAAAGTTCGCCCAGGAAAGGCGCAGAGGTCCAAGCTGCCAACCAGGGCACTTTTGAGAGGCGATCCGGTGGTTGACGCTTGTAAGTGAAATTTGCTACGCTCTAATTAAGGTCAGGGCCAAAATCTCCAGCAAGAGCCCTAAGCCCCTCTCCGTCTTCTGGGGTCGCCCCCAAGAGTCCAGCTCGGTGGATTTCCCCGGTACGCGCCTGTCACTCCCCGGACCTGCCACCCGCCTGCTTTGTCCTTCTCATCGTGGTGGTCCAAACCCACGCTCCGCCGCCTCGGGAGCCTCGGTAGTGGAGCGCTCAGAGAAGGCCGCCACGCTCGGGTCGGGGCCGCAGGAGGGAGACACGGCGCGGACCCCGAGGCCGCACCTGTGATGTCTCTGTCCCTGCAAAGAGGGCAGCACCTCTTCCGGCCTCCAGCCCAACTCCAAACCCACATTCCCTCCAGCAGCGCCTTCAGGACCGACCTCACTACAACCGGCGAGGGCTCGAAACGCGGACTGCCGCCCCTTTCAAACTCCCGGCTCCAACTTGAACACCCCGGGGCCCGAGTGGCTCCCGGGATGGAGGAGTTGCCACAAACTTCCCAGGCCCCTCTCTCCGCCACTGCTCCCAACCAGCCGCGCCGGCGGGGGGCGGAGGAAGGCGCAGATGGACCGGGGAAGGATGCTGAGCTTAACTTGCGATCCGGCGGGGGAACGTTTCCACTCCCCAGCCTACTCCGCCCGGCCCCGGGGCGCACAGAGAGGGTCTCCCTTTCCCCGTGTGCTTCCTTCGGTCTTTTCGATCCCCCTTTTCTCTTCCCAAAGGGGTTCTACCGATGACCTGAAGGAGTTTGTTCAGCCAGGGTCTGTCGGGCAGGTGTGTGTGAGGGTGTCCACACCCCGAGAAAGAACGAATGGCATCTTCAAGTCCCCCGTCCCGGGTGCTCTCCCTCACTCTCCTGGCCACCCCTCCGGATCCGGCCGCGCGCGAGAGAAGGAGCTCGGAAGACCCCTGTCCCCGGGCGCCCACGAGAGGGGAGCCGAGTCGCCCCAACGACGGGCACCGCGGGTGGGTGGGCGCTACGGTGAAGTTTAGATCGATTCCAAAAAAAGAAAGAGAGATAAAAGGTTAAGAGTAGGGGCCAAAAAGAAAAAAGAGAGAGAGAGAGGCAAAGGAGCAGAACTCACTCAGGCATGGGCGTTGGGGGCGGCGGTGGCTGTGGAGCACGGCCCGAGACCAGGCGCAGCTTCCCGGGCGGGCGCGGCGGCGTCGGACTTCCGAGGCGGCGGCTTCTGCCTCTGGTGCCGCCGCCGCCGGAGCTGCGGCTGCCGCGGAAGTTAATTGCAACTTGACTTTAAGTTGTCTTCTTTTCCCATCCGAAGTGGGCGTTTAAAGGGGAGAGAGAGGCGAGGAGCGAGCTAGCGAGCGCTCGAGGCCGAGGGAAGGAAGGGGGGGGAGGGAGGAGATGTTAACGGGGAGAGGGAGGGGGCGGCGGCGGGGGAGGGAGGGGGAAGGGGCCGGCGGGAGTCGCTCTCTGCTAGGCGGTCTCGGCGCCCGCAGTCTGGAGGCGCACCGGGGCGGCCGGGGCGCCCCCCGCGGGAGCCCGCAGCAACCCGGGCGCGCATCCAGCCACAGCTCTCGGGCCGGGCACGCGGCGCCCGGGGGCTCAGCGGACCCCGCGTAGCCGCCGCCGCCGCCCACCGCCGCCGAGGAGCGTGTGCGGCGCGGGCTGGCCGGCGGGGCGGCGAGGGCCCGGCCCGCCTCCCCAGCACCCACCCCGGCTTCTCCCCCTGGCGGTGGAGCCTCGGCGACCGCCGGCGACACTGGGCGCGCTGGAGCCCGAGCCGAGCCGAGCCCGAGTCGCCGCCGCCGCCGCCGCCGCCGCCGCCGCCGCTCCCAGGCTCCCTCCCAGCGCGCCGGCCCGGGTGTGGGGGGCAGCGGGCCGGAGGGGCGCGGGCGGACGAGGGGCGCGCGCTACGATCGGCGCCGGAGACCGGACCCTCGGCCGCGAGGGTAAGTGTGGGCGCCTGGGGGAGCGCTTGGCTGTGCGCGGCGCGGTTCTTGACGCCCGCCAACCACCCCCCCTCACCTCTCCCGGGCCCCCAGCGCGCGCACCCCTCCTCCAGCCGCCTGCGGCTTCCTCTTGTTGTTCGTTGTTTGGCTGGGCTTTTTTTTTTGGCTGGGGGGGTGGGGAGCGGGAAGGGGATGATTGTAGCTGTGTGCCAGCGGAGGAGGAAGTCAGGTGAGAGGCCCCGACGCACCCCCCCCCCCCCCCCCCCCCCCCCCCCCCCCGGGGGGGGCCCCCCCCCCCCCCCCCCCCCCGCCCCAAGCCAGCCTCCGTGGGGTGGATCGCTCCCCACTAGGGGCCTGTGGGCCAGCTTTTTTCTCTCGTCAGTGTTCGGTCGAGACGATCTTTCCTAGAGGGCCTCCTTCCCTTCCAACCTGCTCGGTGCACCTCTCTTCACCCCACCCTCGCCCCGCTCAGCACCCCATCCAGGAGCGCTGCACCCCAACTGCGGAGCACGTGGCGGAAAGAGGAGGAGGGGACCCTCTTGCAGACCCCCCCATGCCGCGCCCCTGCTCATTTATTTAATATCCTCCCGTCGGCAGCTGTACTTCTTTTCAACCCATTGGCAAAAGACGCCTAAACTGAGGTCCAATTTCTCCAAAAAGCGGGAAGCAAAAAGGGCAAGTGAGGATTAAATGACAGCGGACTCGGAGAGGAGAAGGGGCGAGGAAACCTTTCCAAAAGGGGAGTGAAACTCCAAACACCTCTGCAAGATCTAGGTGACTGGAGATTCAGGACCCAGGCTAAGGAGAAACTGGAACTCGGTCAACTTTGCTTTCTTTTCCTGCCGTTCTTACCCCCAGCTCTAAGGGAGCTAACAGGTCTTTTGTGTTGTGTTGTCTTTGGGAAATGCGCACTGAGTATGACAATAGAAAATGACTACTGTTTACTCAAAGTTAAGAGGATCGCAGAAAGAAAAAACACAGTGTTTACTTTCTCTCTTCGTGTGTGTGTGTGTGTGTGTGTGTGTGTGTGTGTGTGTAGTCGTTAAGCTCGAACTGCAAAACGTCAGTTTGTAACAATAAGGACGGTAGAGGCTCCTCGGTGTATTTTTAGAAGCTGCACTTTGAGTTCCTTTCACACAAGGCTCGCTCTCTTATTAAGACCCCATAAATAATTGTATTTAGAGAGCAGGAAACTATGGGAGCAGGACGAAGATTGCTAAGATCTCCGTCCCACCAGCGCAGAGCACTGTTTTGCAGTGAAGTTCCTGGAAAGTGGCAGTGGGCTGAGAATTCAGTTTTTCCTCAAAGCTCTGTTAGGTCCTCTTCTGTCAGATGTCTATGAATAAAGCACGCTGGGAAAATCCTGATATCTGTGCCCTCTTATTTTACCTTTTACACAGTGGTTGATTCTGCTTTCAAGTCCTGGTGACGGTACATCAACTGTGCTGTATTTTTGTGTGGTTTTTCTAAATAAAGGATAATACTGCCTGTATTCACACTGGTTTCTGATATGCCTGTTCTTTTCTATCAATGGGTATTGAATTCACTGGAATTTATCCATCTTTTTCAGTTGATTGTCATTTTATGCAGAGTTGACAATTCTAAAGACATAAGAATGTAGAAAGTTTATGAATTAGCGTTCTTTAAGAGAACTAGCCCCTCGTTGTTTTTTTTTTAAGACACAGGTGCCCACCTCAGCTTCTGGTTCTAAAGCAAAAAGGTATAAATGATTGCAATGGGCAAAACAAAATAAAACCCAAGTTTTCCTTCCTGGACCACTTTCTGTCTCCACAGGGTCCAAGAGACACCAAATCCTCCTGCCTTCATTTACCAAAATGCTGAATTGCCTAACTAGTACCAGTATCTCCATCTGGGAATGACATCAGGTTTGGAATGGAAAGAATAAATTCTTGGTCTTTAATTACGCTTATTAGCAATTTCTTGAAGCAGGAAGCTGATTCTCCAATTCTGAAAGCCTGAACTGAAGCTTAGCAGAAATCGAAATATAAAAAGAGGATTGTTTCTCCTCCCTTACACACTCTTACGTACTCATCTACTCCTCCAAATTATCAACCAAGCCCCCAGAATTTAAGGTGTGATATGGTCCTATGCATTAAACCAAGGGAACATTTTGCCCCAACCTTTTGAATTTGCTTTCCCCTGGGGAAATAGTCTTATACAGAGAACTCATAGTCACTGTTATAATGTAGAATGATGTAATGATGGGTACAGTGCATGAAATAACATATCTTGGTAAACGCAATGTAAACCCTGTCCCCTGGCACATAGTAGGAATACATTAAATACTTACTGGATTAATAAGTTAATGAAATATTGTAATTGGCCACAAATTCAATAGTATAGGGCTAAGGCTTTTTTTCAGAAGGAAAAATCATCTTGCCTGAAAGTTATTAGGGTAATACGTTTGTGCTGCTAGTTTTTTTTTTAACAAGTCCAAACCTAATTTAAATGGTTGAAAGACAACTAAATCTGAAGCCTATCAATTGGTCAATAATAATAGCTAGTGTCAAAAGCTCATTATCTTCCTAGGAGAACAGACAGTAAAATATTACCTACTAAATAGTATGAGAAAGATGCAAAGGAAGAATAAAACAGTCTTGGCCTGCAAGGCACTTACTTGCTGGGAAAATGACATTATAATGTGAAAAGACAACTCAGCAGATCAGTAAATGGTTTGAGTCAAAGGAATATTTTTTTTAAATAGTTTTTTTTTTTCCTTTTTAGACCGGAGGAAATAGACATCCTGAAGTTCCAGGTTGGAAGGCATTTTTAAAGTTGATTTGTTGAGTGAAAACTTTAGGGACCATCAATACAAACATCTTGAGTGAAGGGAAACTCACCACTTACCTCCATAGAGGCAAGGATTTTATCTAAAGAATACTTATCACAGAGTAGAGTTCAGTGTACACTGTGTGAATGAATAACATCCTAAGTAGTTCTGTCTTTGTACACTTTATGACATCTTTGTCTTAAATTGCACAGAATCGGTCTTCCTAATCCTTCCAGCCATTAGTTCTGCCACCTGCTGCAAAACAGAGCAAATCTATTGTATTTGTCAGGATAGGCTATGTTATGCCAGAGTAACAAACAATTCCAATTTTTAGTGACCTATAATGGCAAAGGTTGTCTTCTTGGTTATGCGATGAGTCCACTGCAGGTCTACTGGTCTGTTCCACGTCTCCTCATTTAGGGTCGCAGGCAGATGGAACAGTTGCCACCTTGAATGTTTCATGTTGCTATGGTAAAAATAAAGATCACTCTGGAGAGTCTCATACTGGTATTTAAGTGCTGCGGCCAGAAGTGACACACATCATTTGGACACACAACTCATTGTCCAAGAGTGATGACATGGCTCCATGGAATCATCACAACAAGGCCCAACAGAGCAGCCTACCTTGTGCCCCAAAGTGGAGAACTATGGTACACAGCTCTAAAAACTGATATATTCATGGTAACTTGTGTCCACATGATCGCCTCCAGCTAACTGATTTCTTCCTGCCACTTTGTGGCCCAAATGTTCCCCTCCTCAGGGTAAACGCTGCCAGAGAGTCCACCAGCTTAAAGGGAGACATGCTGTGGTTTCTTTCACCATCCACTCTCTGAATGCAGCCCTATAACCCACCCCTCCCCCACCAAAATGTGGCACCCTATCAGTTTTAAGTCACTCTTTATCCATTTATTAATATTATATACACTGTATTTTCTCAAGACTTGTTTTCCTGGAAAGGGTACAATGAACAGGAACTTTTAAGAACTGTTATCAGAAGATGTCATGATCATTATCAAACTTTGAAATTTGGTCTCGAGTCATTACTTCCCTTATTTTAAATGTCACAATCTTGTGACACACACAAAAAAATTCTCTTGGAAGTATTCATTCATGCATTCATTCATTCATTCATTCATCCATATTTTTGTTCATTCAGTAACCATTCATCGTGTACCTACTAGATGCCAGGCACCCTATTAAGGGTTGGGGATATAGAGGTGGGTAGAGTCCTCCTTTTCAAGAAATACATTTTCCAATTGGATAGATGCAGAAAGAATTTTGAATTTTGAATTCTATTAGAATTGCAACGCTAGTAGAGGCACAAAGTGCTATGGGAACACTTGGGTAGAAGCAAATAACTCTCTGGCAGGATTGAGGAAAGTTCCATAGAGGAATTGAACTAAGTCTTGAGGATATATGAGATTGCTTTAGACAGAAAAGGAAGATGGAGGGAAGATATTTCAAGCAGAGTCCAGCAGGAGTCAGGGCACTGAGGATGACAAAGCTTGTCATTTAGGGGACTACAGGGAATTCAGTGTGGCTGGAACATGGGGTCTTTGCAAAGGATGAAACCAAAGAGCTTCAAATTGTGAAGGACCTTGAAGACATACTCTATAGAGTTTAGGCATCAAGGGATTGCAAACTCTTACATTACCTTGGTCCAAGCACGAATGTAAATGAGCAAAGCAGACGGAGTTGAAGACCATAAGCATTGGTAGCGACAATGGCAAGCAGGAGAGAGATTCTCTGCCTAAATGGAATGGTGAAGGCCAATCATACCAAGTGTCAGATCTTCCAGCTTTTAAAGAGAAGCTACTGAGTCAGATTGCTATGAAAAATTGAAATCTTAAATGTTGAGGACTTATCCACATTTTAAAGAACCCATGTGGAGCTACTGATTCAGATTGCTATGAAAAATTGAAATCTTAAATGTTGAGGACTTATCCACATTTTAAAGAACCCATGTGGAGGGAAAACGTCTACAGATCAAAATCAGCTTAAGGACCCCCAGTCAGTCGCCTGTTTCCTACTTCATGAGATAGGGAGTCATTAAAGCTTGTAAGGATGGGGTAACACCATCAGATCTCTTTAGAAAGGTCACTCTGGTGGCAGAGTGGATAGGAAAAGGCTGGAGCCGGGAGGGTCTAGTTGATACCGCATAACCATCTGAGCGATGATGCAAAGCCCTCTATAACACTGCCCATTTTAT